AAAAGAGACATTTTGCCAATGGAACAAGACAATTTACATCTAAAATAAGAAAACACAATTGCATCGTCTTATTTCAAGTGCATTTTATCTAATTATCTTAGTTTAAGAGTAAAAATACTCGTTCTAGTGGCAAACACATTTACCTACTCAAATTAAGGGTAAATACACTTAATTTAAGAAATTTTTACTTCTTTCTCGATAGTTTTTTAAGTGTATGTTCCTTAATCCTGATGATTTTGTTTTTAACTAGTGAGGTTTTCATGGATACGCTCGGTTAACAGTATGTTTATAATAAATTAAACACTATTTAGGTGAAATTTAGTTAATAAATGGTTGGAGATTATATTTTAACTTTTTTGAACTCACTTGCCACACTTTGTACATATTTTGATTATAATAAACATAAAAATAATCTTTAATCTTCATTATTTCTGCACTAATTTGTCTCCAAGTTTCTTAAAAGTGCAGTAGGAGATCTTTTTTTTACCCTTTTTTTTTACCATGAGGCTTGAAGATCTGCCCACAGCCATGCAGCAAGCAGTGAAATAGAAGGTCTGGAAGTGAAATGAAAATAAATGTTCCCCTCTAAAGTGAGAAATCAGTGAGTAATGCCCACCAATCATAAAACACGGTCCGTGGTCAACTATTGGTTCCTGACACGTCAATCAGGGTCGTCTGCTTCTCCCCTCCTCCCTGTGCGCGTACCCTGACACGTGAATGAATCGACCCCCCAATGCTCATGCAGGCGTGAGGACCAGTGACATCACATGAACTCAGTCATGTTACCTAGTTCAAAGCCATGCATGTCGTGCATCTAAACATTTTGTCAGATTAGCTCTATACGGTACAAATTATGATTCCCGTGTGATTTTTGTAAGTTATGAAAATGCGATCAGCCAGCATCTACCTAGCTCGATACCTACAAAGCAAGGACTTTTTAAGCTCCCTCCACCTCCACCCGTCTGCTATTCTGGCTTCCCTCTAGGGGTATAATAAGTAATTACGGTATGTTAGAGTAAACATGACTTTGACCATCAAAGCCAATGCTGTCAATGCTTTAGCCACTGTTATGTTGTCGTTAGCTCGTGTTGCCAGCACTCGGTCTCTGCTTTTTTCGTTCTCGATCTCGGAAACATCCGAACACCTCAACAGGCAGCATGGGCGTTCATGTGTTTTGAGGGGTTGTCTGAAGGGAGAGGCATGGTTGTGTATGTTTAAAAATATAGCTTGCTGGAACCGTTTTTTCCAAGATCTCCTACGGCACCTTTAATTAAACACATTGAGGTTTAGATTTTTCCTGTAAACCAGCTAAAAGCTCTAATAACCTAAACTTAAATGCCAAAAAACACTTTTCAATGTTGTGATTGTTTGTTTTGATACACCTGCTGGAGCGTCTTTTTGTCCCCCTCCATCAGCAGCGTCCACGGCTCCAGAAGGATGTCCAGTGCGTGTTCCTCCACCTCATCAAACAGCTCCTCAAAAGCAGGCTGCAGTCTGTTGTACACCGCCCTCCCGATTTCTGGGGGAACATTAATGCTCCTCCTGGCATAGCTAATAATGTACGTGGAGTAAAGGAGCTGGGGAGGAGAAGAAATGAGGAAACCTTTTGCAAGTGAGAAACATTTTTCTGCAAAACCACAATCGCTTTCTTCATCAGCGTCGCTCTCTGCTTTTACAATACCACGTCCTCTCATCAGAGCTGCCATCACACCACATAAATGTCGCTCGTTTAACCCTCCTGGCCACGGCACAATGGAAACACCACTATATGTCATCCCTCTGGTGAACTAAAAATCAACTAAGAAACGTTTTCAGGGTGATGTGTTCTGGACCGAAACGTTCTTCGTTTGTCTGTGGTCCCAGTATGGTCCAGCACAATGGTTCTGGGTGACTGAGCTGGCCCAAAAGTGTGGGTGGAACTCATTTGTTTTTATGAGAAATACAATTTCTCCACCTAAAGCAGGAGGGGTAAAAGGGCAGAGAGGGTAATGGTGGCGGGGAGGCTCAGTATATTGGCCTAACAGGGATGGAAAATAAGCTTCTGTGTAAACGTAACCAGACGCTGGTTTTATTGGCCTCTGATGTAGAACAGAAACCTTTCATCTGAATGGACAGCTGACCTGTGCCTCTCTCTGCTCTCTGTAGGGGTCCCGTTCATCCTGGTGGAAGAGTTCATGGTACTGCTGTAGGTCTATGCAGAAGTAAACTGCATTTAGCCAGAGCTAAAACCAAACACAGACAGCAAAGGTCACATTATGAGACTTTTTTCCTTTATGCAACATCAGCAACAAACTATTCATAGCAATCTGTTTATCCACCATAATAGAATTTAACAACAGGACTGTCAAATATAAACCAACTTTACTTTGGATGTTGTACATTAGGAGCCTTAGGCCCCATTTACTCTTCCCTTTGAAAACTGATCCGTGCCTAGCTCGGCTCCTTACGACTATTTAAAAAACCACTCTAGCACGGTTCTTCGCCACCTAGTGACGATCTATGGTACTACTGCTCCCTAGAGGTAAACAAGCAAATCGACATGGCGACGCCCGCAACATTCAGGGAGTTTGGTTATAATTGTGATATTTCATGAGCCATGCAAGTAATCCAAACTGCAGGCACCAAAATAATAAAATAAAACAGAGGAAAAACTCCCTTTTAACAGGAAGAAACCTCCAGCAGAACCAGGATCGATGTGAGCGGCCATCTGCTGAGGCCGACTGGGGTTCAAGGAGACAGAAGCAGAGAAATAGGAATATTTTCTATTTTAGAAAAGGTAATAATAAACTAAGTCCAGAGGTGCCTCTGGGTTGGACAGAAACTGTTAGATGAGCTCTGGGCCAGTTTTCAT